TGCTTTTCCGGACCACGTCATCACATGATGTTTGAAGTTAAGACGCGGATCGAGGTAAACTCCAAGCCAGCGAACTTGTTCAGCTGGTTCTATAAGAGTGCCGTTTACGTAGATGCCAACTGCTGCCTCGCGATGCCGTGATGGGAATTGTACTACCTCTGACTTTTCTGTGTCGAATTGGACAGCATTTTTCTGAGCCCACTCCGGCAGGTGGTCGACTTCTTTCTGGGCAGCTCCAGCAGACTCAGCAGTGGTGCGGCCAAATCCAAGAATACCGATGTCGTCAGCATAGCTAAACCTTAGATTAGGAGTACCACTCCGCATTGGCTCTGCCATATATAGAAGAAAGAGAAGAGGCGAGATCGGCGAGCCCTGTGGGACCCCGCAAAACAGCCGTCGCTTTGTCGTGACTCCTTCCAAGTGTCGGACCTGTACCATTCGTTGTGCAAGGAACGAAGTTGTCCGCTTTAGAACTGAGTCTGGCCATCCTTGTTCTTACATTCTTCTCACTAGACGGTTATGAAGAACTGCATCGAACGCACCTTGTACGTCTAAGGTGACGAAAGTGGCCGCCCACCCTTGTGTGCGCGCCACCTCGACATCGTGTACTACACAGGAGACTAGGTCTGTTGCTGAGCGCCTCGAGAGTGCGCCGAATTGTTGCCGACCAACTACATCACAAATCACTGCTGATTGCGCCATCCGTTTTGCCAGAAGTCTTTCAAGTCCTTTACAAAGGCAAGAAAGAAGGGCAATTGGTCTCCATCCTTTGACAGTTGTTGGGTCCCTTTTAGGCTTCTGTACGAGTACTACTTCGGCCAATTTGAAACAAGTCGGATGCGTACCGAGCTGTATGCAAGCTCTGAAGAGCTTGACTATACAGGGTCCAATTGTCTTCCAGCAGGCCACTAGCAGCTGTACGGAGACTCCGTCTACTCCCGGAGCCGTGTTTCCACAGCCGATAGTACAAGCTCGGACTTCTTCCTCGGAGATGTCGTCCTTCCATGGTATACGGTTGTTACTCGTGGCGATGCAAGGCGGCAGGTCGTCCGATGTTTGGTGTCTTGCCAGGAGACAGTCACGGAGAACTTTGGCTCGCTCTAGTGGATCAGAGATGAGAGCTCCGTTGTGATTGAGGGATGGTGGGATGTTTGTCTATCTAGGCCCAGCCATTCTCATCAGCTTAAAAACATCGTTCGGCGTGTTCATTCTTTCCACCTGCTGTGCTTGATGTTCTTTTTTGGCAGCTCTGATGACTGATCGGAGCTTTTTAGCATACACTGCACGTTGTAGAGGTGATTCTGCCGCTCGATATTCAGCCCGTGCCTCCTTGCACGCCGGGGTCCACCACGGGGCTGATTTACCGCCGTTTGCTCTGGGTCGAGTTCCTGTTGTATTGATGGCAGTCTTAAGCTTTAAGCAAAGTTCCTGGGCATAGTCTTCGACCTTTTCGATTGTATCTAAAACTGGCGTTAGACGGACCAACTTAGTAACAGCTCGTGCAAAGTCGGGCAGTCTTTCCTTCATCACTCGAATCTTGCCCAAGTTGGGTCTCAATGTTGCGGACTGGACCGGGATTATTCCTCGGATAGGAAGGTGGTCGCTGGTGACACATTCATCATGGTCGACCCATGCACGGCTGCCATTAATGTTGGTCCAGACAAGGTCCAGGGTATTTCCAGCTTGATGCGTGGGTTCTCCAACAATAAGGCAGGTTAGATTGTAATCTTCTGCCCATCTTTCAATCATTTCACCTTGCCCGTAGGGGCTCGTGACTCCTGATTGCCAGGCACAGTACACCGAATTGAAATCACCCGCAGCAACTGAGTTCGGCGGCGGGGTCCAATTGATAAGTGGCTGTACGGCTGATGTGTCTCTGGGTGCCTTGTACACATTGAGGAAAGTGACTCCATTAACAAGCACCCAGCAATAGTCGCCCGTCAGCTTAGCACAGGGGAAGAGTTGCCTCGCTGATATTATCCTATCATCTTTCCGGGTGTAGGTCACAGCCCTTGGCCTGACCTTTTCGCCACCATGAGGTAAATGGCAAATGTATCCAGGATGCGACATTGTCTCTTCTTTCCACCGAGGTTCTTGAATTAGGACTACGTCGATATTCAGCTCGAATGCTCGGGCAAGTGAAATATTCTGTGTTGGACCTCCTCTACCTACGTTTATTGATATGAAACTTAGAGTAGGAGGGAGGCGGAAAGGGGCCCGTGGGGCGCCCTTTATGAGTGATTTTTCGGGACGACCGCCTCTGTGACCTCAGTCACGTCTAGAGTCTCATCCGTCATTAGAACTTCGTAGCTGTTATGGGAGCTGTAGTTCGGCGTAGCTATTTTGGCCATCTCAGTGGCGGCTTTGATATCGGCCTCTGCTCGTCAAACGGCGGTTTTCGCACGGATCACCGCGGCATATTCGCATTGGCTAGCGTTCCTGATCTTTTCGAGGGTTTCCCTAGAAGCCATTCCGGACTTATTAGGGCGGGCCAGACAGTTTCGGCTGTCTGATCTGTGAGGACCCCTGCAGTTGCGGCACTTGGTGTGTCCTTGGCATTCCGAAGTGGAGTGCATTGTTGAGGTGCAGTTCCAGCACACTGGGGCGCGCGAGCAACTCTGGATCCCGTGGTATAAGAGACATCGCTTGCATTGGCTCACAGTTTGGCGTGGCTGATGGCGAACAGCGATTCCCGAGTCGTCAAATAGTCGGAAGCCTGGTCTAGGGACGGACGCTCTTTCAAAATGAGCTACCCATGTCTGGTATGGGGCTCCGACTCTCCCTTTTCCATGAGGGCGGACCCTTACCGGAACCTTTAAAGTGACCCTGGCGATTTCTTCGGCCACCATCACGTCGGTGACAACTACTTTACCTAGGAGTGTGTGAATTGCGACAGGAATTGTCGCAATACGAGGGGCCACTAAATCTGAGGCCTTCTCCAGGATTGCGTCTACCTGGTCGAAAGACTCAGCAGAGTTCAGAAGGAGCTGTCGTACCTCGAGGTTTTTGGCTCGGAGTGCAAAGCCTGTCGGAACACGGTATACATGTTCAATATTCTGCGGGGGTATCTCGAGCAATTTTGCTGTCGCATCTCGGACACCGGCCGGCGAGAGTGCGCGCCAAGCATGTTCTTTTCCGAGTCGAAGAAACAAACGATCATCTTTGGGGCCAGTTTTCTTAACTTTTACCGGAGGTCTCGTTGGTGTCGGGGGGTTTTTATGGACCCGCACATCTTTCACAGGTGCTGCTGGCGTGTGGAGGCCAGTTCGGGTAACTGTTGCCCAGATAGGTTTGACCTGGGTCACCTTGACCTGGGTCGCTTTTTGTGGCAGCTCTGGCTGCTTTTCAATCGTTTGTTCAATGATCTTTCCGCCATGATTCTGGCAGTTTGGTCGTGGGGGGAGGTTGGGAAGGACTGTTCCTGGTCCCGACATCATGAATTGAGCTATTGCAGCTCGGAGGTAGACTTTCATGGAGTCTATAAATTGAACGCTTGACCCCTTGGATAGAGGTGAGAGCGCATTCTCCACACCATTGATAGCAGCGGTGCATATTGTGAGATTAGTTGCGGTCTGGGCCGCTCGCTGTTCTTCGGCTTCAAGTATGGCTCGAAGCTCGGGAGGACAAGTCGCAGTGTTCTTGGGGTTGCCATCGCTGCAAGAAGTTTGATTATTTCCACTTGTCCTCGGAATGGGGTTCTGAGGGGCTGTAGTTGACGTGGCTTCGTCGGCCTTTTTTAAGTTAACATTAGCTATCCGCTTCATGGCCGGCACAGCAATCTTCCTCGTGTCTGTAATAACGGGGGCCTCTGAGACCTGACTGTCTTCGGGTTCACTGACATTCCATCGTGAGCTCTCAAGCCCCTCTATGATATATCGGTCGATAACCGCATCACCCATTTCAACATCTGGGTTTGTGGAGTTAGAATCTTCTTCGAAGGCTCTTATCCTCTCGGTCATTTCCGACTCCATTTTTCGCTCGTCTATCGAGCTCATTGGTATGTTCTTTTTTGCCAAGCGCTTTTTCAGCCTGGTATTCGCTCTATCAATTGTTCTTTGATGACGAATAGGTCGCGATGATTTGGCAGGCCCCGGAGACATATTGGAGATCCGGGGTCTTGCTACTGTGAGAATTCGAATTAGTGTAATTGTATGCGAGTCGGAGGGGGACGGTAATGGTAATGGGGTATCTTATTGGTTCTCTCATGAATATTCAGGAATTCTAGCTTTGATATTGTATCATAGCTAGATAGCTGTATAGTCAATCAAAATCTGATGCAAAAAAACTCTGGATGGAAGCCATCTAGGATGACACATCACCGCACTATCTGGCAAACAAGATCCACGAAGTACAAATTAAGAGAAAACGCACAAAGCTTCCTCGCCTAGTTGATTTCTGTTAGCTTGTCGAGGTAGGGAATTGAATTACTAAGTATTAGGAGTAGATTTATCCTCAGAAGAAAATTTCGTCCATCGGGCGGCTTTTATACCTCATACAGACCCAACGGAGTGTTAGGATATAGCTGATCATGTATATGTGTCACAGGTAAAGATAGCATAATAAATAATATCCGTAGCACAATTATGTTAAAATTTTCATGAATAGTATTTTTACAAGTTTAATCCACAGTCAAATATACACTGCTTGTTTCAAGCTCTAATTTGCTTGTGTTTTAAGATACTTGTTCGTTAAATGAACTTTGCATCTGTGACCTTGTGAGCACCCAATTGCTAGCCTGACCCATTCGCAAATTTTTGAAGAGATATTAGAAGAAAGTAAATTAAGCGGAAGCTCAGAGCCAGCTGGTTACGTGCCCTATCATCATAACATAAATATCCTTGCGTCAATTATCATAAGTTTTTGTGGGACACAACTTCCGATTAGCCTAGGGATCGAACTACACCCGATATAAATTATCGCTTAAATTGATATAGTCGGCAAAAAATAGGATAAGTTGTTGGTTGAGGCATAAAAATCACCTTATCTCATGAAGTTCAGTTCTACCGGCTCATGTCCCACTGAGGCTTCAACGACGAGCTTATGGCATCTTTTGTGAAGAAGACATTATCTGGTAGCGTGTCAACTTGATGATTTCCCTGACGGGCTGCTTCAGATGGGTTGTGAGAGCGACCACTTCTACTACTGCGTATACTCCCAGCATCACTTCCGTTCTCACCGTCCCAAAACTTTTTGGGGGGTGCAAAATCAAGGGCTGAAAAGGCACCGGATCTTCGTAGCATGTGTCTGAATTGAGTTTAGTATCATTTATTTATTGTTTTGGTTGTTAACTTACGGGCTGGGCATTGGTGCGAGTTCTTGAGATGAGTTTGTTACTGGGGAAAAAGACTGTATGTTGCCCTGAAAGCTTTCAGTTCGGCCAGCAGCTCGGTCTCGAAAGGTTGGTGGGGGCGCGAAATCCATCGGATTAATGGCAAAAGAGTCGTCTCTGAGCTTTGAGGGATTGGGCATGACATTCAACTCCGCAGGTGGAAGAGCTGGTTTTCGAAAGTTCGCACCCTTTCGTCCAGATGCCGAAGAGTGTGGCCTCGGACCCGAGTATCCTTGTGGAAAATATCCGCCATTCTCGTCACTCATAGCTCCGATACTGGTCCGAACTGGGCCAGGCCTGTACCCAGCAGGAGGAGTCATGGCTCGTCTAGTTACAGGCTGGGCGTATGGCATCACAAATTGGTTTGTATCTGGATCATAATAGGCCGTCTCATCGTAGTAATTTTCACTGTAATTTTCGCCTTCATACTGACTGACAGGAGCCGGCGTGCTGTCATCAAAATATTCCTTGTAAAACGATCTGATTCGATTTGCTCTAATTTCAGGATCATCGGTTTCTATAACAGCATTTGGAGGTAGGGGCCTTAAACGAGTAGATTGACGACTAGGATGTATTTCTTGGGCTCCAAGTCTGTTGTCGTAGTATTGGTTTGTTGAGACATCCTGAGTAGACTGATTGTTTGCTATCATTTCTTCCTGATAAAACTGGTCGTAAGATGACCCCTCCATGCCTGTCTGCTGAGCGTACACATCGTTATTACCTTGAAACTCGTACTGTTCAACATTCTGTGTAGTAGCAAAGTTTGGAGTTTGATCAATAGATATAGACGGCATAGATATAGCGGGAACATTTGTTTGATTATCCCAATCAGAGCTTTGCGGATAGTAGTTGATGTCATCAGCTACGGTTCCATCGTATTGGCTTATTTGTTGAGTTGCCTGTGTTCCGCTGTTATGAAGGTTTTCGTCGTAGTTATCCGTTGCGGGATAATATGAAGGCTCTCCCGCGTCACTCGGATAGTTTGATGTATTTTGCCACGACTCGGGAGGTGCCGAATAATTAGAAGAAAAGTGCGCTTGAGGAGGCTCAGAAGGGTAATTTAATCGGATATCATCATCTAGTTGATTGAAGTTCGTCCCGTTGGATGACTTTGCAGAGTTACGACTAATTGAGGGAGCTAATACGTTGTGACGACTTCTATCAGACATCTGCGAGCTTTCTGGCTCCACGTCGGTTTTTTCCTGTAATTTCGCAGGCGCCATACCAGAATCTGTAGGAGGAGAAGAACGCAGTTTGGAAAGCTTTAGGTTAGCTGCGGCATCAGCGGCGATAAATTGAGATACTGGTCGGTACGGATCTTCTTTTCTAATTGATTTAGACAGAGACTGTAAAGATTCTCGAGAACCTTTGAGTTCGGGGGAGACTAAGAAAGGATTTCCCATTGAAATATCCATAGAGAGTTGACGATGACTTAGACCTGACTTTTCTCCATTTGATGACCCTGGAGAGCGACCTCCTTTTTGTCGACCAGCTGTTGTTACATCTCCCAGCCCGAAGTCTAAAGATGCATGGCGATCGTTCGCATCTTCTTCTCGCATTTTTTTGGTATGTCTACGCTGAAGAATTATGAATAGGATGGCTGCGCCGACTAGTGGAACACTAGAGCTGATTAATAAAATTATTTTCTTCGAGAAAGAGACTCACGCTACGCCTAAAATGATTGGGAGTGTGAAAGTAGAAGAGCTTGTTGGTTTCTCGCATGGATGCGGTCCGCAAGTTGAATCTGGTGAGGTAGAAGTAGTACTGTCCGCAGCACGCGGTACCAAGTGGGCACGCGAAGATTGGACATTCCAGATGGAAGCCATTCGAGATAGCACTCGGTTTGAAGTTAGGTTTGAGGCAGCTGAATGACGAATATCGAAATAAGTTTTGTGAATTCAGTCAAAGTCAGATGCTAGAGATTTGTTGCAAATGATTTTGAAATCGATGAAGTATTTATTTAGGCGTAGTAATCGTTTGTTCGTCTTGAATGGCAGGCAGGTAAGGAGAAAATAATACAGCTGTGAGAAATATTTCAATGCTAGTAGAAGCCGATTTACAACAAAGAGTGATAGTTGAGTGTGTAGACAGTGGTAATTAGATTTGCATCATCGAATCTTGGCAGATACGCAGAAGTGATAGAGATTGAGACCAAAAGAGTGAAAAGCCCGCTGGCAGGCTATGGTCAAGTAGGATGGATGGAGAGGCAGGGAAATGATGGTAACTACATCGACGTCGAAGTCGTCGACGGCAAAGTGTGAAACTGGCAAGAGCGTGAAGAGGGGGGGGTCAGGAAATTCGGGATGATTGGAGGAAGGTCCAGAACCTCATTAGAAAGAGAGGTAGCCTGAGGACAGAGAGTTGTATTAGTTAACTGGGCCGTTTCTTCCGGGAGAGCTGGGCCTCTTACTAGCCCTGAAGCAGGAGACCTAGAAATGAACCACCATGCTTATTGGTTTAATGTTGGTTTTACTGGGAGTATCCCCTGTAGCTTGGACAATGGGTGTGTAGTGGTGAGTGTTGGAAGGGTGCAGCCTCGAAATTAGTACGTCTAAAATTATGAGGAATCATCAAGTTCTTCCGCTCGGTCATGCCGATCTCCAGGGCTATGTGCTGTCGGCTTCTATGATTTGTGATGGATACTAGCCGCGAATGCCTGACGGGGCAACTAGTAAGGGGGCAGTCAAGTGCAGCCACGTCTGACAGTGCCATGTAAGCCGCAGTCGAAGCAGCAGAGAGTTTGTCATCACTTGTGCTCATGGCGCTTTGCACGCCAGTTACACAGTAGATAACTATCAACATGGAAAGGCCAATTCTACGAGATGGATTCATTGAGTGACCTATGTTCTGTAACGGTACGAGTACATCGCTCCGCCAGCCAGCGCGTGTAATTCGCGTGGCTGGACTGTTCGCTATCGAGACAAATGACACGTGCGTCAAATATATATTAATAGTTGTGAAGCCCCTTCGGCTCCGTCCCGAGTCATTACATGTTTTCCTAATTCCCCTGCGCGACACCTTGGAATTTAGGAATCCTCGAGTCAGTAACGGCGTGTCAAAATCACGAGACTGTCACTTGTTTATCCCTCACAACTAGGAGATTGGTGTTCACTAAGGCGCAGTACTTCAAAAATATCGAAATCGCCCTCATTACGGGGTTGGTAATTTAAATTGTGGCTAAATGTTTTCTGATAAGTGATCATATATGTGTCACTGGAATGGTACTCAAAGATATTTGTGTTGGTATATGTCCGTTCAGAGGTTGACGCGTTAAAAAATTTTAATGAAATTGGTGTGTTTGAGTGCGAATCGGAGTTCGACGAGACTGACCGAGAATTAAACTGTTGACGTTGCCCATATATCATCTACTTTCAAACTCAATAAAGAAGAAACATTAGTGAGATGCAAGCTTATGGTCTCGAATGGAAATGGCTTTAAGACGATGAATATAATGTTATGCTGATTTCGGGAACTTGTTTCGGGTCACTTACGGCACTACTTAAATTGTCATTTTGCTCATTCCTCTGTAGTATCAAATTACTGTCCCTCCACCCTAATATCTATCATCTTCTCGATTTCAAGTTTAGGAAGTATCAGCTAGGTATCTGTGCCGCCCCCGCTTTTAACCCCAAATTCCGCCATTTGTAGCGTTTTGTATGCCGCATTTAGATCATTACTTTCATACGGTGTCTTGTGCTTAGGCTCTTGAGTCTTGGGATTCGAGGCACATATTTACGAAGCCGGCTAGGTAAACACAGTCGATTTAGATTTAAAACTGCCTAACTGAGCTCTCAGACAGGAATTAGCCAAGCTTTCTCAAGATGGGATGACTCGGAATATTGTATCCTCAGTCGTTATCGTTAAATTTTCCTGTGAAAAGGATAAGAACCCTACACAAGCTGTTCAGTTACCGTAGATGACTTATTGATTTGTTCTTCAAAATGTACTTTTGCTTCCCTATCAAAATCCCGGGGCCCTGATCGTCTTAAACCGAAGATTAAGGAACCCAAATAGTCCGACGCTACCATAAGTTGCGGTTGACAGGGGTTACGGGGCTCAAAATATCTAGCAATAATAAGGCCCGTGATCTCTGTTTACTAGTGCTATCGCTTATTTTGAGGCTTAACATTGGAAGTAATAGTCAGCTATTTCGGATCAGGCTGGTTTTAACGATTCATGGCAGAAAAAAATCTAGCTGCAATGCAGCACTGTTCTCGCCATAGACCACCTTCACTACTTCCAATCGGCCGTTACCGAGAAACTCTCCTTTATCTTATCGAGACCTACGTGGTTACCATAGTTGTTGGCCAAACCGGCTCGGGAAAGACGACACAAATACCACAATTTCTCGAACAATCCGGATGGTGCTCAGAAGGGAAAATCATTGCTGTGACTCAGGTCCAAGATCCCTATCTATCTAGGCTGGATGATTTGCTAAGATATTTCAGCCTCGAAGAGTTGCAGCCACAACTATTGCTACCAGGGTGGCGGAGGAGTTTGGCTGTGAGCTCGGAAAAGAAGTTGGTTATTCCATTCGTTTTGAAGATGTTACGTCATCTGTTACAAAAATAAAATTCTTAACAGATGGACTTCTTCTAAGGGAAGTTCTTGTTGACCCTCTTCTATCTCGATACTCAGTGATCATGATTGACGAAGCTCATGAGAGGAGTCTCAGTACAGATATACTTCTAGGTATTCTCAAAAAAATATTGCATCGACGCTCCAATGACCTAAGGATTATTATAAGTAGTGCTACGATGCAGGCTGAAGAATTTCTAAGATTTTTTGAAGCAGAACATGGCGCTGATAGAAAAATAAAATCTAATCTAAACGATGTAACTCCGAACATGATAAAGGTGGAAGAACATTCTCCTAAAGAAAAGAATCGTTTGACCATAGACAAAAACTTGTGCCAGATAATCAATTTAGAAGGCCGAGCATACCCAGTTGATATTCTTTATTTGGAAATTCCTACTGAAGACTTCTTGAAGAAAGCTATTTGGACTGTGATCGAAATTCATACTAAAGAACCTAATGGCGATATTTTAGTATTCTTAACTGGTCGGGAGGAGATAGATAATGCTATTGAGGCACTATCGAAGGAAGCTGAAAGCCTACACTCAAGAGCACAGCAAATCATCGCCCTCCCCCTGTACTCAGGATTATCTAGTGAACAACAACTGGCTATTTTTGACGAGGCCCCAGAGAACACGAGAAAAGTCATCTTCTCCACTAATATTGCTGAAGCATCAATAACAATCGATGGTATCGTGTACGTTGTTGATACTGGGTTTGTTAAACTTCGTGCCTACAATCCTTTAACTGGAATCGATACGCTGACTGCTACTCCAATCTCTAAGGCTTCTGCATTACAAAGAGCTGGTCGTGCTGGTAGGACTTGCCCTGGAAAATGCTTTAGGCTTTACACTGAGTCCGAATATCAAGCACTGCCTGAAGTTACTGTGCCGGAAATTCAGCGATCAAATCTGGCTTCTATGATACTCCAGTTAAAAGCTCTAGGAATCGACAATGTTGCTCGCTTCAGCTTTATAACTCCCCCCCCATCAGAACTGATTATACGTGGCCTTGAACTTCTTTACTCACTTGGTGCCTTGGATGAATATGCGAAACTCACTCGGCCTGTTGGAGTCCGCATGGCCGAGATAGCTCTTGAGCCTATGATGGCAAGGACAATTTTATCCGCACCGTCTTTTAAATGCCTCAGCGAGATTCTAACTATTGCAGCAATTACTGGTGTAGACGGTAGTATATGGTCTTACCATGAAGGTGAAAAAAAAAATGCAGAAATCTCGCGACGGAAGTTTGCCGTTGAAGAAGGAGATCATATTATGTTGCTGAATATATATCAGGCATTTATTACCAGGGGAAAAAAAGGAGCGAAATTTTGCCGTGAAAACTTTCTTAACTTTGAAACTCTTTTAGGAGCTGTTAGTGTCCGGGCTCAGCTCAAACGATACGTCGAGCGATTCGGATTGATGATTGATGAAGATCATTCCTCCCGGTCGATTCATATGATATCTACTGATAAAGAACCGGGAATCTGCGAACGTATCCAACGTTGTTTGACTACAGGTTTTTTCGCACACGCAGCTAAGATGTTACCCGACGGTACTTTTAGGACTGTGTCTGGTGACATGAAACTATATGCTCATCCTAACTCGCTTATGTTCAATCGAAAGGCAGAGTGGGTAATTTTTCATGAAGCCGTGGAGACAAGTAACAAGACTTACATCAGAGATATCACGAAGATTGAAAAACCCTGGTTAATAGAATATGCTCCGGATTTCTACAAGATAAATTGAGTATCATCCCCCCGAATCACAACTACAGGATTTTAAAGAGAAACTTAATGTAATCTCAAGAATCTTGCCTGGCTATAAGAGTCAATACATAGAGATAACAGGACTCTAAGTCACGCAAAGAGGTTCAAGTCAAAAAACCATTACATCAGATTTTTAAAAACAACGCTACTTTCTGTACACCGATAGACTAGATTTCTAGTCTTATTCTAGATCTCCCTTGAGGATATACCAATTAAGAATCCAGTCCCAGCCTACAGCTCTTCCGTACATGACTTATCAGGGACCAAGCTCTATTAAACTAGCATTAGACGCTATGCAAGAGACAACATCCGTGCCTTAGATGTTTGATACTGCCTTAGAAGACAGTTGCAAAAATCCGGCTTTATTGCTGAATTCTATTAACACCTGATTCCACCATAACACCTATTATAGAGCATATTATTAGATCCCTCAGAACCTAAGGAGATACTTTTAAATAAAGGATTATAAATTCATTTTCTATAAAAATGAGAAGCCTTTATTTGTAATTAATATTCGGTCAGCTTAAACCAAATTACTTATCAATCACCTATACTCCCATAGACAGAACTCCTACAGGTCAGTGGCCATAATGTACACCAGCATTTTATATGAAAATCTCAGGCATCACTTCCCCAAGCATTCTAATTTGAATACTATTAGCAAAATCATATCTGGTAGCACAATTTTAGATATCTTAATCAACGTGGTATAAGTAATAGTCAAGCTACATACAAATATTAATAGATATAGATCAGACTAAATCTGACGAAGACCTCAAGGACAACTGCATCGCTTATTGACCTGCATCGATTTACCCATAATGTTGTAACATAAATGTGGAATCTACAAAAGTCAAAGTAGCGTTATAGTCACCTGCAAGATTCAGGAGTTTGTTGTGTCAGTAGGTAGTAGTCACATGACTTAGTGCGGCTTGCTGTGTCGCCCATGAGGCAGATACGCACGATAGTCGCAATAGAACAAAGGGAACCATCATATCATAGATAAATCGATCCCAAAAAGGTTGCCGCTATAAACTATCCTGTTCTAATTATTCATTGCAATCCAAGTGCGGGACGGAAATACGAGTATAAAGTTCGAGTATGCTGATGATGTCGCGATACCAGGCACAGGAAGCACCTCGTCTAAAACAGTGGCCGAATTCCAGAAGTCAATAGGCGCGCAAAAACCAGGTGGACTACGAGCCGACAAAGTCTGAACTACTGGTAATTGGACGAGGGTCAAAAAGAAGCTGAATATTTCAGGCCTAGCTGTCTAGATTCGAGGTCACAGCATAGCCCCATCCCCTTACATAAGCTGGCTGAGACTATAGCTAGAGTCCAAACTCAACTTCAAGCAACACGCCCAGGGATGGTGCGGGAAAGCGCAACGTTTTATACGGCTTATACGTCTGACAAATTTGGCACAACACGGCGCAGCCCCCGGTCTGATGATCAGAGTAGTGCAGAACTGCGTCCTTAGTACAGCACTACATAGAGCAGAGGCGTAGTGGCCAGGTCTCACCCGTATCACAACTAATCTGGATGAAAAGTTGGTACAGGGGTAGGCTGGCACACCGATCTTAATTACAGCAGAATCCAGAAGGTAGTTTGAGCGGCGTTAGCGGTGTGGCCAACTGCACCAAATACGGCGCTACACAAAGATTCGGGCATCCCCCCATCTGCTATTATCTTACAGCAGAGATAAAATCTAGCTGCTTCACAGATTCAAAGGTTAGACGTATGACATCCTTTAGTATTCAGATCTAGAGAGGGGCCAAAGGATACATTAAGCCGCCTCGGTTTCTGCAAAGGTCAGTAGAACCGTCCATTCAAGGTCCTAGAATGATACCTCACGCTACTTCAGTTCAGTGACAAAATTGTGCCGATGGTCGAGGGATCCTGCAAGTTTTACTTCCAAAAAGCCGAGCCTGTCAAAACACTCACCGCTGGTAACAGTCAGGATGAATCAGCTCACTATAAGCAATGGATAACAAGCCTGTCTGTTGAAACAGTTTGCGCGTATTCAGATGGCTCATCATGTGGACCAGCTAGGTCTGCGTGGGGGTACGCCTTATACAAAGGAGTTCAGATGAATGGAAGTGACTCTGGTCTAATGCCAGGGGCGGAGGTTTGCGATGCCGAAATCTTTGGGCCCCAAAAGATCTCGAAGGCGCCATATGAAAAGCAAGTAGCTGTATAATGAAAGTGCTCCTCGATAATTCCTTAGCCGCAAGAGCTCTTCAAACCTACTAATTAAAACCTGTCAGGTAACTGAGAGCCAAAACTGTGACTGGCGAAGTGTATGTAATTAAAGCAAAAGAAAACTCAGTAAAAACAACTTAATTCCTATTCCTCCCGGAATTCTAGGACTATATACACTGATCATGATTGACTTAATCTCTTGATCTCTTGATCTCTAAATATAGACATGCACTATGAATAGAATAGCCTGCGTCTGTCGTCGGATCAATTTTTGTTGGTTTGCAGCAGAGCAAGTCCAGAATAAAATCAGTTAATTAACGAAATTTAGAGCGAGGAGTTTTCCTACATCTTGCTATTTACTCAAGGGATTTTAATTAACAACGCTGATCAAAACAGCCTCCGTTGCTTAGCAACCGTTTCCAATCTCCACCCATGGTAGTCTCTATAGCTGACTAGACCCTAGATTCCATCTCTACCATACTGGCACAGACAGTATACATACTAGGGAGTATTCCCGTAACAGCGGTTCTAAATACAGAATGCAAGCACTGACCGAAACAAACAGCCCACGTACGTATAGACAGTCCCTATTTTGACCCGAGACATGTCCCTGTCCAACTCCTTCAGTAGTTATTCTTAGCCTTCGAAAAAGTCCTCTCAGGCTATGGTAGAAATATTCAGAAGACTGGTACAATAATCTAGATCATTTAAATCCGGCGGATACCAGCCCAGTCTAGAATCACGGGGAATGAGGAGGTAGACAGACTAGCTCAGGAAGCCCTCAGCAACCTACCGGATGAAACGGCTACATCTCCCTCGGAAACGAGGGATGGAACTAAGTACAACTTCGCAGCCCTCACTCGGTACGCTAGACAAAGATGTGAAGAAGCGGTAGAATTGTTGTGGTTATTAGCTATGCGGAAGTCACATTGCGGAGTGATGAGGAGTGGATGATGTTATAATTAGTTGTTGACAGTGAATAGACTCATACAATATTATGCTGTAGGTGTATGGACAGAAAGTATAAGACTAAATCTGTGTCTATTTATTGTGGGTACATCTATGAAACTATATACATGCTCGCCTAACCAGTACACTAGTGATATATTCTGTGACCTTGAGCCACACGCGATGCCTTAGCTTCGACTACCTCGTTGTCTCATATCATAATAAGAATCCCGGTGGATAAAACATAAACCTAGCCGCAATGAGGAGTTGGATCTCCAAATGAAACTAATACGTTCACCGAAGTTAGCACTTCCGAAGTGGGCGTATCACCGCCTGATCGCAGCGAGGATAGGACATGGCAATATCAGGAACTACCCTGAAATGTTTGGCCATGAATTTGAAAATTGTAAATGCGTTTTCGGAAGGGAGAAACGCCCCTGGCATTTTGCCGAACAACAGATTGCTCTACAACAATAGAGGAATTCAAAGCATGAAACACCATCGAGAGGACGGGAGATGCTGGCAGAAAAGGGTCGGGAAAATTCTCTTCACTTCTTAATACTAACTAAGCGTTACGAGAAGAAGTGCCCAAACTGGGAAGATTAAGTCCTGCCGAAATAAAATTTTCTCAGGGCAAAGGGTTGTGAGGAATGAAAGGCCCAGGGTGCTTATTGTTCCTGAAATTAATTCACAATTTTTTTATTCATTGTGTGTTCAGCTATCTAGCTATGACAAATTATTAACATAATTTATATCCTCCAAACTCCTTTCTTACATATAATTTACTCAACTACTTGTTAATTTCTAATTGGTGCTTCCTATTTTAATATATTTTGTGTGCTACCATGCACTTGGATTTGTCTGGGGGACTATTCTCAACACCTGTCAGTAGTGTCCCCCATAAACCTCCAGCTCTCACTGTAGAGTCTGCAGAGCCGAGATTGAATGACAAAATCCTCACTTCGACGAAGATTCCAAATCGTATTCGCGGTCTGTATCGTCTTCATCCCTAAGCACTTCCCCCTATCACTATTATCATGAAGCTAACCACAATCAGATCAGATGGTAGGGTCGGAGCCATTCTAATCACCCATCCTCGATCATGGAGGAAAAGCTATGCGATGAGTTTCCGGAGCGTACCCAGCACCCGATACGGAGATGGCGCATTGGATCAAGTCGGCTTCGAATGTTACAAAGAAAGGAGATGTAGATGAATGTGCGCACCTCATGTGGTCCCGGTGTCTAGGCCTTGCCTGGCTGGTGCTGCAGGGGTTTCGAGACTTTTTCCCGCGCACGCAGTTTCCATTGCTACCATTTCTTGGGTAGAAGGTTGCGTGGAAAAGGAGGCCGAATTCCACGAGTAAATACTGATCTGAAAATATATTCATCACGAGCAATATATCAATGATCTATGAAGTAATGTTGGAAATTCTGACTCTCGAATTTAGGACTCAACCACTACCTGTTTCGTCTCAGGTTCCCGACAAGATCGACTCTCTCTACAAATGTCCTGAGTACGCTAATCGCGCCTACTGTCGCCTATACGTTTGGATATTTACGTACTACAGTGTACCTTGGCTCATCATGGTAGATGAGAGGTGGCTAGTCATCACTAGGTTTGACAGGCACACGAGGCTAGCGGGAATTTCTCCCTTAGATGTATATTTAAGTCCAATGTTCCCATAGTTGTAAAATATTAAGTCTTCTTTACTTCCTCATATTTATCCATATAATATCGTACAGAGTATATTTTCCAACAAGTAACAAAAGAGGAAAGGATCACCGTACAAGATGTGGACTGGTTCAGAGAGGAGCCCAATGTGCTAGATAGTATGACTCAAGTAGTACAACAAAATATCACATCAAATTGATGTGTCCAAATCGTAATGGAAGTGTACTTGGTTCTATGCCCCGAGAATATTTGTTTCTTTGTCTAAGAATTTAGGACATTATAACGACAGGTGTTGCACATTCTGCCTTTCTTTCATCAAAAATTGCATATATTACCTTCAACTTTTCTTATCATAAACAGATAGACCTATTGGTTCCTCCCAGGTTGGATGTTGCGACCTCAGGCCATTAGGCTCCGCAGACAATATTAGCTGACTAAGCTTGAGAGGCCTGTGCGTCTCATCTAATCCTTAGACGTTCGAAATACCCTAGATGGATATAATAATATATACAATTCGACAAGGGCCCAAAGCAGTCTAGCGATTCAAATACGAAGTGAGCACATGGGGCTCAACTCGTATTTATACAGAAGAAAAGTACCCGGAGTCTACAGTCCAAGTTGTCCATGTAGCTACCAATCGCAGAACCCCAAGCACATGATTATGTCCTGCCTTCGATGGTCGAATGGAAGAGAAGAGATTTGGAAAGAAGCCAGCGATCGGTCCTACGAAGCTATGCTAAATAATCTTGGAGATATCAAAAGGATAACACAGTAGATCCTAAATCACGGTTGGATAGAGCAATTCCAGATGACAAAGGCGGTCGAAATACTGCTGAGGGAAAGAAACAGGTCATGCCTTTCTTAAGGTCGATAAAGCTGATGTGATTGGGTTATATGGAGGGCACTATAGTGTAACTGCGCTTCCTTAAGGATACTTTATAAAAAACATAGAAATTAAGCAGGAAGGTTTGGGAGGTTTTCACCAAAAGATTTCCTCCCATGTAAATTAGAAAGTATGATAGACACCTGCATGGGCCCATAGGGCGTCAAATCAGGATAATGAAATCAAAATCAAGTTCAAAATATATACAATTCAGTACACTCTATTTCCATTCCCCAGCCCTAGTGCTTAAGTCCTGTCAACAAGACCCGTGTATTTCTGACTCCAAACCTTGCCTGGAGATTTCATTATTTATGTTTTGCGTATAGATTTGACGAGGAAACTATGTAATTGGCTGTAGTGTGTCCCCAGAAGCATAGACACGTATCACGACAATTTAGTGTAGGGAGTGAGGCTGATACAAAATATATTCAAATCTGTGAGCGGACGCACATTTAAGTATAGTCAGCTCTAGTAATGCGGTCATGTAATATATGAGGACTAGGAGTTATGCTGGCATTGAAGATGATCCGTGCGTACACATACGCAAGAACGGCGGTCTTTCTGGTTGAACCTAGGAAGAGATCCTTAGTAATTCAGTGAGTGAGTAAGTGTTTATTGTCCTAATGAGTCTATAACTATTTAAGGACATGTAGGTCCTTTCTGCCTACAGGCCGGAAGTATCTATGCCTCGGGTAGTGTACTCCCTCCTTTGCCTCTTTTTTTTAATCATATTGTATTCAGCTAGCTAGCTATGACAATTTATTTAACATACATTTAAAGCAAATACATATCCTCATTATAACTTATTTCCTCCATTAGCCTCTCTTTATTTCCAATATGTTTTGTCCTATTATTCCCTCCTTTGCCTCATCCATGACTTCTTTTCAGCAGTAATATCCCGACATGTCTTCATTCGAGTACACACTAAGAGGAGCCGTTATCCCGTCATTATCTCCCCTCTCCAGCCAACTAAACGATGACCATTTGCGGGTGTGTAGCTGCAGGGAAAAGTCTCAAAAACCACTGGGTGCGGGGCTCTCCTATGACGAAGAGGCTGGCCAGCCGGGCGCAACAGACCTGTGTATACCTAAGAGCGTCTCTCGACCTTCCTAGCCTCTTCCTTACTCCTCCCTTAATTCATGCCGCAGGACAAACCGGAGGTCGTGAAAGGATGTCAGAAAAGTCTTGGTCGAGAGTGACTGTCGTGAAGGAGCCTAGCCTAGCATCCAAAAGTCGTTACGAGCGTGGTGTTGTCGAGTAATTCGTGTATTTCAGATGCCCCCTGGCTAGTAGATTCGGGAGTATAGATTAGTAGGGACGATATTGTAGACGAGTCGAAATCTGCTTTTCTTGAGGGCGGAAGGGTCTAATACTTTGCTTTCGTGGGCTTCTTCTTCGCCTGCCGGTAGGTAGCACATGTTGTGATGTAACGAGGGCTTCTCTGACTACCGTTGTAGCGTCTGGTACCGCATTACCTTTCCCCATTCCCAGCATCATTATCATCGTCTTGGTCGTCTTATGTGTTATCGGAAGCGTATCTTTGAGGGAGGGGGAGATAACTCAGCTCAAAGTTGAAAAGTAGTTACTCAATCTCGACTCTACAGTGAGAGCTGGAGGTTTGTAGGAGACACCACTGACAGGTGATGAGAATAGTCCCCCTAGTGATTTAGTTATAATGCGAGATTGAGCCAATAACGTTTACAAAATCCAATCAAATCGAGAGGTCCACTACGAATGCCTACAAGTATTTATTCCCGACCGATACATACTGTTGGTAAGACACGAAGTAATACAAATTGGGTGCCGTCACGAAGTCGGTCAATAATGTCAATTAACTCGAATCTCGCAATATATCAAACGTTGTCTCTCCTCTTCCTCTACTCCAAGCGCCTCGCTAATGAGGTAAGTCAGACCCCTGTCAGTGTCCCAACGACAATCTGAATACCGCAATTGGGTAGAACAACTCATACTGCTCAAATATGATCCTTTTACCGACACATACAATTACATATTTAGCACAGTTTCATTTCATCCTATTTTGCATTCCTTAAATTTTTCCATATAGTGTTGTACTTGTTACTTGGAAAGAATCCAAAACATGTATCTATCATAAAAGCTACTACGATTGTGTGCTTTTCTATTGTGGTTATGAGCGATGCGGAAGCTATACCACGGAGTGGTGCGGGAGTGGGTGATGTCGTTACTTATATGCGACCCTGAATAGACTAATACAATGTTATGCTCTAAGGCTATGAACAGAATGTGTAAGCATTTCGCGCGGAGAAAAGTTGAAAGATGATGGAGGCATGTCTGGACAACCTAGGGTTTTTGAGACGTTCCCCTGGGTGGGTATTCACGGATGAGGGCTGACTTGGGGTGAGGAAAAAGCCACCATAACTTCACAGTGGTACTTGCAAATGAAATCCGAGGCATGAGTACTCTTCTTGTAAATTAAGTCATCTATTATACACATCTCTTTGATATTGTGCCATAGCTAGATAGCCACGTACGCAATTAAAATCTGATTAAAAAAAGAATATGTAAGAAATTAGTCTATATTATTATGTCGTTGGTACACCTAGGAGACTATATACATGCTCGATTAACTGATGCACTGGTGATATTGTCCTGTGGCCTATGGCCTCAAGCGGTACCCTAATCTCGACTACTCTGTTATCGCACATCATAACATTTCCCTTGCGCCAAGGCAAAAACTCGCGAGCTTATCTCATGGCTCAGTCTTTCACTTGTATAGAGGCTGGAGAGAAGACAGATACTCATGAAGAGGTTCGATCGACACTGGGCGTAAACTACGGCCGTAGATATTTGTTGTTCTATCCCACAAGTTATGTATGTGAATTCTCTCTAGCCCATCCATACCTTTCACCCGCTGAATCAAGGATTATACCATGCTTATCGTTAGAGAACTGCTGAGTATCTATGTTCCTGGAAAACATCTGACGTATCGTATAGTCTAGTTCCGAACAATGCGCCTTTGTCTGCATGTTCGGGAAACTTCAGACTTGTCATCTAGATGTAATTCTTGAGAGCGATTTTGTTTTAGAACTCAAAATTATGATTCCAATTATCTCTTCATCATTTGTTCCTCGGCCCATTTCAGGATAGCATGCCGTCCCCGTTCTGCAGCCTCGTTTCGTGCATTGCTCGCTGACGCGTTACTCAATTCCTTAATACTTTTGCTAGGGTTACTGAGCTCTGGCTCCTTAGACTTACTTAGTGGGAGGGCAAGATTTTTGACGCTTCCATTTGTGGGTTGTAGAGAACTGGTTTCAGTGTTTGAAATTTGTGGACCTTTCGTAGGGAGTTTGGGTTTGTCGGAAGTTGAGTTAGGTGCAGTGGGAGCCGCGCAGTTAGGTCGAGTAGGGTAAATTCTCGGCGGGCGCTGAGAAGAAGCATTGGATGATGTACCCATGGCACTTAAATTCGATGACTTCTCGCTATTTGCACTGTCACGATTTACATGGGACACAGCTGGAGTTGCCGTGGAAGATCTGTGGATAGATAGGTTTGTGAAGCCTTTGGCCCGTAGATCAGGTACTTCTGGAGTATGCATTCCTGTTTTAGGAGAGACTTGGTTTTTGGAGGAGGTAATAACTTGATTCTTGGAGGGTCTCGTTTTTAGGTTTCGTGGTTTACCCATTGGAAAACTAGATTTAGGGTTGCTTGCCGCTGCCTGGTACTCGTGATGGCAAGATTGCCGGAGAGCGATCCGATTCTCGCGCTGTTGTTTAATTTTACGTGCTACAGCTTCACCTGGGAGCTCGAAGTTTGGGCGAGTAAGTGGTTTTGTTGACTTGATTGGGTTTGCAGATGTAGGCTGAATAGTAGACCGTCTTTGAGTATGTTGCGATATGACGGGAGTTGTGATCGAGCTTGGTGAGTCTGCTACTTTGGATAATATGGTAGCTCTACTTAAATTGGGACCAGTAACACTAGTGCGTGACGCACGGTGAGATAGTCCTATTGGTTCTGAAAAATTTCTGCTTGATACTGTTGGGTTCATAGTCTTAGATCTTCTCAAAGAGTTAAATCCTTTTTGTGGAGAAGTACTAGACACATTATTTGCCTTTGGTGACTGACGGTTTGGGTGCTTAATGCGCTTAACAAGAAGCTCAACTTTGGCCACTTCATCCAAGGCCTCCAAGGCCTCCTCTATTTTATCGAGAGCTTCGACTGGGTCATCAACACGTGGGACGGGTTTGGCTGGTGACCGAGACGTGATTTGTTGAATAAATGAATCCTCTTCAGATTCAAGGACTGACTCTTCGTTAGTAGTATCTTGATATTTCAGGCTGTCCAGATCATTTCTGTTGGCCCAATTTTCGGCTTCATGAATACGTAATTGGCAGTAGTTCGGCGTAGTCTTGATGGACGTAGAAGATTTCTCCACACCAGTTCCGTCTGTATCTGTAAAATACTCGGTGCATTGAGGTACATATTCGGGTATTATGTCTTCACTGTGAGTCAGTGGTTGACTTAATCTCTTGGGACCTAAAACGAATATCGCGTTAGTTGTCTTATTTTCAAGCGTGCTGGACTGAGCTTTCTAGCTTTTGGTGACCGTCTGGGAAGCTGACCTTCTTTTGGCGACACGTCAAGGTTAATTTTGACTCCAGTTTGAGCTGAGTCCACAGTACTGTTGAGCTCATCTTGAGGTTTGCTTCTCTGTAATGTGCCGCTTCTTCCATTGAGACATTTCTTTGAAGATTCATTGTCAGCTTTTGTTTTAGCCGACCTCGAATCTACAGATCTAACTAGCAGTGAGTTTCCCCTTGATGGACTGATATCTGCGAGAGTATTCGATGAGATCAATTTATGCTTGAGTGGTTGATCTGTTGCAGTAGAGTCCTCTGGTATGTAGACCTTCTTGGACCGGGTGACGCGCACCATCGCTAACGATGTTCCCAATTATGAAGACCTTAACTTAGGGTAGATTTCAGATTTCACAGAGATAAGAGGCAGACGATTGACTCGGAGTGTAAACTAATGATTAAAATTATGCGGATCTTTGCGCGTTCTCACATGTGTATCCAAATGCTAGTTTTATTTATCTATAAATAGGAAATGTTTGTCGCCAGGGCAACATGTTAGCGCAATTGAAGGAATTAATTTGTGTGTTGCACTGAGGCAATACTCCGTTAGGTCAGACACAAGAAATTACGGCGTCTATGTTGTGCTCAACCCGCCATAACCCTTCACTGATCAGCTTTAGTCAAAGAACAAGCTATACTATTGCCTATGTTTCACATTGCTTTTCCTTACGGCCCCATAGATCTTTGAAGCTCTCTTGCATTTTCAGTGGGTATTCGAACCAGTGTCTGTGGTAGAGCTAGCTCGCTAGGAGCTAAAGTATTGTCCTCTGTCTCATTTTTTGGATTATTAACCGCATCTTGATTTCTCAGCTAATTTTAATTTATGATCGGAGAGAACCTACTCGATGCCATGTTAATAGCTTGAAGAACATATTGCCAGTTACTCAAAACAGTGGCGACAGCTGGGCAGTGATTATTAGTAAAGAAAATGGAATTGATTGAAGTGTGCACCCGATACCTTCAGTGCCATCCGTGAGAGTAGCAAGTTTCTCTTCCAATGATTGCATCTGCTGGGCCAAACTGGCACTTAGATCTCGAAGTTGTTTTAAATTTGCTAGCTCAAGTTTTTTTTCCTCTATACGTGCAAGTAGCTTTGGTGATTGTCCTGACAGTGTAAAATTGCTTGTGTTTGAAACATGACGCAAGTGCGACGGGAGAGGTCTGGAGGAATATGGCATCATGCTCCGAATTTTACCCCGGCGCTGGCCGCGAGGAATGAGGCTCCAATAAAATACCCTAGGGCCGTTGCCACGCGTGACTAGTCTCGGCTCATCAGCACGAGGAAAGTAAACAATCAATTCATACCCTCCGCGCCACCTACGTTGATCAAAAATCTTGCACACCACGCTTTACAACAACTCAAGACTCATCAGGCCTCATCACATAGCAACTAAATAAGAATCTCCGTCCAGTGGTAATTTCACACTATCTAATACATGCTTCCCTCTCAATGGCTCGTCTAAATGAGCCTTTGGCGTCTCCAGATGATATAGAATCACGTGAGCTAAGGAACATTCACAACTGACGAAAGACACTGATAGAAAGCTCCAGTAAAACGCAGATTTACCCGTCAAAACAAAGATTTTGCTCGCGCTAACTCTACTCAGTCCCAGCATATCAGGAATCTCGAGAATGAAGTGTCAAGATTGCTAGCCGAAAATCTGCAACTACGAGAACAAGTATTGCGGTTACAGTCAGAGTTAGAAAACAGACCTGTCCTGGACTCAGATACTCGTACTTTGCATCTCAAATTACAGCTTGAAACGAAAATATCTGAAATTAGCACTCTTCTAAGTCATTTTGGCTCAAACTATAAGGCAACAAAAAAAGCATCATCCACGCGTGAGGAACAATCGAAAGCGACTCCTCTACACCAGCTTGGTGGAGACCTTAAGAATAATTGGCCGCATTCGGAAGATACAGTTGATCAAATTGAAAGGCTATCCCCGATATTGGAGGATAAAGCGTACCCGAGACGCACTCTAGAGTAAATTTATTCCTAATCACTGAATTCTTCTATTTTACTGACCCTGCTATCACAGGTTCCAAGAAGTCCCTATCTCACTTACTGAACCCGAAACCAGCGCTCTGGAATCCCCTGAAATCGGGCCTCCTCCTAAATCGCAGTTTGTGGACGAGGAGCCCATGAAGATTGATCTCCCAAAACGAAATGGTAAACTCCAGTGCCCGGACAGCCTGAACCTCGACGTGACCCTTCCTATTGCCGTAGAACACAGAAAAAAGAGACGAGATACTGCAGATGTAGAGCTCGCTAGCGAGCCAGAGACAACAAGACATTGTAGAGCGACGGGTTCACTCAAGACGGGAGCAAAGAGAAAAATGTGTAGCCGTGAAGATGACGACAAAATGAATTCAAGCATAGAACAGAAGGATGAGTCTCTCACAACGCCTCTAATGAATCCACTTAACAATAGGGAGGATACGGAAAACTCTCAGACACGTGAATATTGTACCAGTGGTTCCTATAGCGCAGAGAGCACCCCAGATCTAAGTGTAGCAGAGAACTTTTCTAGCCGCAAGATTCTGGGCCCCAAAAGCGTGAATTGTTCCCCCAGGAAGCTCTTGACTCCCTTGAAAGTAGACTCGGAAAACTTACTGCCACTGGGAAAGATACAACTTGATTTGAAAGAGAGCAATCCTATTATCCTTACTCCCGGACGGCAGGGAACAGCAGCTCCTACGCCTTCGGTGGAGCAGCACGAACCAGCGAAGGAATCTGATACCATCAAAACAGTTCACCTATCAGAGCATTTAGCACCGTGCTCCACCTCGGCAAAGCAACACGCAGTCTATGTTGACTCTAGCGAACTTCCTCCTGAACTTAGCTCTCGGGCAGATTCTGGCCGCCCTAGTCGCCGTTTACGTGCAAGCGTTAGCTATGCTGAGCCGAATCTCCGACAGAAAATGCGGCGACCGACTAAGTCGTTGGCTGATGCGGTGATGAACGATAAAGCATCTCATGGCTCAGTTGACGTATCTGATGCCTCATCGCATCTGCCAACTGGGGTTACCCCGGAACCGCCTCAAGCACAGGAGGCTACTTCTCGTACCACTCCCCTAAATGAACGGAGGTCAAGAGGCCGAACACTCTCTCCTCAGGTAACTCAAGATAATGCGAGCCCTGAAGAAAATTCGCACCCGGAGTCGCCAAAATCAGAGCGTCTAGATGAGGAGAATCTTCTACCGCGGCGACGGCGATCCACTATGGGTTTACGAGCAGTGAGTAATAATGAAAATCGACAACGGGCTGAGACGGGAAAATCAACCAGACGGGCGACCCATGGCTTGGAGGGAACCTCGAGGAAGCACATAACTCTTTGAGCAGGACTTAAACGGGTAGCCAAGCACCAAGCGGAGTTGAAGGGGATAATTCATTTAGGTCGGATGGAAGTGTTGCATAGGAGTTAAAATGTAACAGTAGCTAATTGTCTGACAAGCTGAATCTACCTTCTTCCCTATCACTTCAAACAGAATGATACCAGCAATGTTTTTTATATCAATTTTGCCAATCTCTCGTGTTGAATTTCCCTCCGGGACCTTTATCGGCCCACAATAGTCGATTTGGGTCTGGTATATGTGTGATCTGGAATACCTAATTATAAAGGTAATGGTAATGTAAACCTGGCTTAGTTGATACTTCAATCTCTTGATAACTGTGTCAAGCGTGACTTATGTTGAGTGGGTAGTTTCCATTCGATTTCACCTGCTCTCCAAAGGTTCCCAACTCATTACCCCTCTGCAACTCTACGTAAACGCCAAGGTTACGGCAACACTTTACGCAAAGGGAATGTCCCGGACGCTTAGACATGTCTCAAGTGTTGACGGCCTTGGTATAGGTGACTTTTTCGACAGTGACACTTTCGACGCCCATCGCATCTTTGCGTAGCTGGTAGACGTAGAGAGTTAAGCCGATACCCTGAACCTGTAATGGAAGGGCAGGTCAGCTCGCGCAACTAAAAGCTAGATATGGCTGGCGGGCACACGACTTACGTCCATCAGGCAGAAGCTCGGCACAGGCTCCTCATCGCCTTCGGTAGCCCAGGAGGTGGCGAAAGCGCCGGTGACGCTGCCAGGGTTGATGAAGAATTTATTTTCGAGTTCGTAGGCGTCAAAACGATGAGTGCCAGCCCAGCAGAGGACGTCTACATCGAGCTTATTAGCCTCGGCGAGGAGTAGATCAGTCTCGGCGGGTGCAACGGTGGTGAAGCCTTCGAGAAAGCCGATACGGAGGGATCCATGCGTGACAACTTGCGAGAGAGGCAGCGTCGTAGCATCGACATCGAAGCGTCCCTTGACGATTTTGAGGTCGGGTGCGATAGAGCGAAGATATTCGAAAGTCGCTTTGTCGGTGAGATTGCCTAGACAGAGTGTCTGTCCAATTTTGCCGGGCGTCAGTAGCTTCTTGAACTGCTCGCCACCCGCAATCCGCCGTTAGCCCACGCCCAGCGCTCGGGAGAAGAGAGGAGAGCGGCGAGGCAACTCGCGCCGCACCTACCTTTGCGGGAATATCAATAGCTCGATCCGGGATGTAGAGGTCAGCGATGACCAGGACGAGACGGGATGTCATGCTGGCGGCTATGGGCGAAGACTATGATTCGGCCGAGGGCATGGGTTGGATGGGCAGGCGCGCTGTCTGTGACGAGGCGAACCGCCTCACCTGACCGTGGCCCGGGCCGGCAGTCTCCCCACCTCGGCGGGGCTAGGAAAAAATTAGAGGCAGTAATAATCGTAAACGCCCTAATACTCCTAATTCTTATCGTCCAATAGCGCTTCTCAATAGTCTGGAAAAGTTTCTCGAGAATTTAGTGGCCAATCGTACATCTAAGGCCGCCGAAGACTATAACCTGGTTCCGGACGAGCAGATGGGGGCTCTATCTAAGAGTAGCACTGTGTCGGCAATATAGCTTCCTACAGAACAGATCCACACAATATGGGGTAGGATCGGATGGTGCAGTGCTACACCATTTCGGCTATCTTCCCAAGAAGAATCTGGGTAGCTTGAACACCTACCACATTTGAGACAGGAGAAAGCTGGTTCGAATCCAGTAAAACCCACACTCCACTCTCACGGTGATATTGCATCTGTGGGATGATGAAAGCACACTCGAATAGCCACAGATTTTTCACGCTTTTACCTGTGGTGGGTATGCACGGAGGAGCTTATACGCCGTGAGGGTTAACCTCGAGCGGTATCTGCAAATGAAATCTGAGTGTGATTGCTATAAATGTCAAAATGACTGATCTTACTGACAGTATATGTCTTCCGATAAAATCTGCATGGGCCTCAAGGCGCCAGATCAGGATAATGAATTATTTATTTATTTAATATGGGGTAATGACAAAAAGCAAGTCGCATCACTCCTTAATCTCCATATCTTAGGAGCATTTGATAATGTCTCTCATGAAAAATTTATCCACAACCTAAAGGAAAAGGGCATCCCAAGGTGGATTATCAACTTTGTAAAATCCTCTCTATATAATAGAACGACTTCCGTAGTCCTTGGGTCATACAAAGGGGACCAAATCTCTGATAACACAGTTATCCCTCAGGGATCAGCTCTGTCTCCCATTTTATTTCTGGGTTTTGTCAGCACCCTCTTACCAATGCTTCAAACTCTCTCCAGCTCAGTGGTAGGATTTGTAGATGACACTAATATAGTGACGTGGTCAAGCTCTACTGAGGAAACCTGTCGAATGTTAAAAAAGCACAGCATATGCGAGGAGTGGGCAAAGAAACACGGAGTAATATTTGCACCGGAGAAGTACCAATTGATGCATTACACACGAGCAAGGAACATACACAACCTAGAAGCCACCGCGAGTATACAAGGACACTTAAAATCACCGCAGTCTTCTCTTCGAGTTCTTGGAGTCTTCTTCGACCCCAAACTCCGCTGGGGGGCCCACATAAAGAATATCCAGCAAAAATCCTGCACTCAAGTGCAATCAATTAGTAGACTGGCACAATCAACTTGGGGAGCAACCTTCGTGAAGTCCAAGCTGCTATACAGCTCGATAGTGAGACCGGCCCTTACGTATGGGTCCTCGATATAGGCCGAGGCCGGGCCAACAGGAAAGATTCCCGAAAGGATAGTGAAAGCCCTCAGAAGCATTCAAAGAAAATGCCTAAAAGTTGTTGCAGGTGCCTACAATTCTACCGGCAGCAGAGTGCTATAGCACGAATCGTCCGTCCTCCCTATGGAGATATACTTAAAACAAAGGAGAGTCCAGTACGCCAGACCATCAGCTAAACTTCCAGGTCAACAGACAATCCGATCGACATGTAAGAGGACAAATCTGCCCGCAAACGGCAGAGAAACTCCGCATGCCTTGAACAAGAGTAAATATATCGCCGAATGGACAAGAACTTGCGGAAGGGAAGAGGACAAGGGTAGGCAAAAAGAAGCTGGAAAGATAGCAGCCTTTCAGGAGTGGAAGGATTCATGGACAAGCCAGAACAGGATATGGCGCCCCGGCCTACCAGCATCAACCGATCCAGAATATTGGAAAGCGGCAAATATATCTTCTGATGAACAAATAGGCAGCACCAAAATGAAATTCAAAGATACACCCTTAAGAATCTACCGTAACCTAACCAGGGCCCAAAGCAGTGTCGCCATTCAGCTAAGAAGCGAGCATATCGGACTCAATTCTTACCTATGCAGAAGAAAAGAACCCGCAGTAAAAAAGCCAAGCTGTCAATGTAGAAATCCGTCGCAAAACGTCAAGCACATGATGTTTGCGTGTCAGCTGTGGGCAAATGAAAGAGACGACATTCTCCGTCAAGCTATAGACAGGTCATTTGAAGCAGTGATGAACAGCCCAAAAGATATAGCTAGTATCACACAGTAGATACTAAACAAAGAGTGGGAGGGCAAGACTGAACACCTGTACGCGGTGTCCTCTACAAACCTGGGAGTGAAATATTCTCCCAGAGCCAAGTTCAGTCAAATTTCGCAATATCAAAGAAGTTGGCCCACTAGGCAAAATTTCAAATTACTCCTCCACGTCGTTATTTCGCACCCAACGAGTTTGACTTCTACCTAAGTCTCATCAAGTCTACAAGTAGGACTTAGTACATCCTCGTTTCAATGACCACACCACTCTTCGACCTTCTCTGACCTCAGCAGGTCACCAAATACACGCCCACGCCGATATTTACACCCACCGGAGGAAGCAAAGCGTGGCGCACAAATGTGGGAGATAGCTCTTTGGGATAGACGTGAGAGGGATCAGGACAAGTACACAAGATGATGCAAAAGAAGGATACAAACTCGACGGGCGTGTCATTTTGAAATTTTGGCAAGGAGTTTTACGAATTGAGCTTTGTGCGCGGCAAGACTCCGCTTGCGAGAGTGCAGCTGACACTATAAAAATAAGCCGACGATGGAAGGTGTTGTATCCCGCCTCCTAGTGATGTTCTCTGGTATAGTTTGAGTAGCCTGAGCACTTACTCCACTTGGGAAAGAGACATCTCAGAACGTATTTCGCGCAGAGAAAAGTTGAAAGGTGATGGAGGCATGTCTGGATAACCCAGGGTTTTTGAGACGTTCTCCTGGGTGGGTATTCACGGATGAGGGTTGACTTGGGGTGAAGAAAAAGCCGCCATAACTTCGCAGTGGTACTTGCAAATGAAATCCGAAGGATGTTTGTTTGTTTGTTTTTTTTATTTTTTATTTTTTTTTATATATACATTCGGTCCTAAGCTAAAGCTATGTTTTCCACATTGGGTCAAGGACCGGCGGATCCGGCAGGGTTCCCTGTAACTTTTCCTACAGCCTAACTCGTTCCAACCTCGTGAATCGCTACCAAAAGTGCAGCTGATTGAACAAGAACGAAAAATCACAAAAATCAAAACAACTCCGAATACCAGAAGATTCCTCCATATTGGACCCAGTAAATGCGCTTCTCACACATTCCCTCGTCCGTCACACCTTCCAAATGACAAAATTTATTCAATCTCCGCTGAGAGCAAGAGATAAGTTAGCAGGCACCTTTGATCCAGCTGGTATCCTGCTATTGGTTAGTAGATGCCCCAAAAGGGGACATCGTCGAGGTTGCTGTGTCCTCAAACTTCTTCAGATCCCAGAGCGCCGAAACCTGTTGCCTCGGCCATCGAGACATCCTTTGCCGCGGCGATGATCGCCTCTTCGGCCTTTTTTGCTGCAGCCCTGGCTCGTGCCACCTTCGCGAACTCCCCTTGTTCGATGTTGTGAATCTACGCGAGCTGCTTTTTGGTCACCGGTCCCCCACAGTTGCGACAGCGTGTGAGGGCCTTGCACTCTATTTCGGAGTGCATATTTGATCCGCAGTTCCAGCAAGCTGGAGCGCGGGAGCAACCACGAGTGGCGTGGAAGCCCAAACAGCGTTTGCACTGTTCAATTGATCGACGAGGCTTATGGATGGCAGCCATACCCGAATCGTCGAAAAGGCGGAAGCCCGCACGAGGGGCTTCGTCCCGGTGAAAAAGGGCATGCCAGTTTCGATAAGGCGATTCAGGCCGACATGTCCCGTGAGGTCGGACCTGGATTGGATACGCGCTGGTCGTAAGGAAGATCTCAGCGGTGACACTTGCAGCATCGGTCGCTACGGGGCCGTACTGTGAAACGATACTTACAGGTACGTTCGGTATCTGTAAGGCGACAAGATCCGAAGATGCTTCGAGTTTGGCGTTTTCACTTGCCAGCTTCGGAGAGACATCTAGGATCTCTTGTCGTATTTTTTCGTTCTTTGCTATAATAGCTAAGCCGGTCTTTACTCGATGATTCGAGGTTATATCATTATAAGAGAGATTAAGCGTGTCCGCTACCTTACTTTTCACAATGTTGTTTGAGAGATTCCGCCATGGGTGCTCCTTTTCCAGGCGAAGGAACAGTCGCTTATCGACTTTCGCCTTGGGAGCTTCTTTCTTTTGGGCTCTCGCCGCAGGTCGCGGCACAGCCTTTGCTATAGGAGCTGCATTTTGTCGCAGTCCATTTTTGGCCACCGTGGCCCAGGTGCTTTTTATAGGCAGCACTGGGACGGCGGGAGTTGTATTGCTCCTGGCTTCTGGAGCCCATGAGGTCGGGTTCGCAGGGCGAGGAGGGAGGACGGGTGGCGTGATGGCCGGGCCCGTGGCCATGTATTGCGCAATGGCGGCGCGTAAGTAGACTCTCATCGAGTCTACGAATTGTCTATTTGACCCGTTGGTCAAAGGGAGGAGGGTGGCTTCGACGCCAGAGATGGCGGCGGAACAGAGGGCCAGATTTGCTGCTGTTTCGGCGGCGCGTCGTTGTTCAGCTTCGACAATTGGTCGAAGCTCTAGGGGACACTCTGCTTTTGTGGCAGCTTTTGGCTGCGACGTTGATCTTGGCGCTGCTTTGACTGCAGCGTTTTCCGACGGTTTTGACGCTGTCGGAGGAGATTTTGACGATTCTCCAGTCCCGTGAAGGACGGAGGATGGTTGGGGAAATTCCTCAACAATTTCAACTGATCCGATCATGTCAGTATCGGGCTCAGTGACGGTGGGGAGGGCTTTTTCCTTCCCATTAGTTGAGACCTTGCTCATCTCCGCGCATTTCGGAGACT